AGTACCTGAGAGCGCAGACGCACTGGCACCTAGAGCAGCAGCCTCACAAGCACCTAGCGCAGCAGTACCAATGCCCGGGTCGGGCTGGAAACACCGGTAACCCTCATTCTCCTCACTATAAGTCACAGCATACATAGCAGCAAGGATAGCATCAAAATCAAGATCAAAGATCGCTACACCAGCCCTAAGAAGCTCATCCCAGTGAGGGATCTCACTAGCCCCAGGGAACTGCTGACGCCAAGCGTCCGTCAGGCGGCCAAAGCAGCGCTGGGTGGCGTGGGCACCCCCACACTGCTCACCCGCGCGGTCGCCGTAACGAAGAACGTAGGTGCAGGGACCAGTACCCCCACCCCTCTGACGCCCAGCGTACCACTCACGAAGCTGCTGAGGCGGAGGGATGTCCCGCGAGCGCTGCTGCTGCTGCCGCTGCGAGCGCTGGCCACCACCACCGCCGCTACGCTGCTGGGTACCACCCCGACCAGCTCCACCTCCTCCACTACCACCGCCTCCTCCGCTGCCGCCTCCACTGCCTCCACCTCCGCCGCCTCCACCTCCGCCGCTGCCTCCACCACCACCGCTGGCACCACCACCACCGTCTCCGCCGCTGCTGCCACCACCACCACCACCCCCGCCACTAGTCCCGCCGCCACCCCCACTCCCTCCGCCGCCACCGCCGCCACCGCCACCGCCCCCTCCAGCTCCACCCGCGCCCTTGCCCCCCTTGCCCTTGCTGGAGCGACGTCTCCCACTAGGGGCAGACGCCGCGCCGACCGACTCAAGACCAAGCAGGTCGGCAGCAGCAGCAGAGGCAACAGAGGGCAGCAAGGGGGAAAATGAGTACAAGTAGGAAACCCTAGAATTGTGTACCCCCTATAGGCTAACCCACTGTAGCCTACACAAGCATAACATATATAATGTTTGACAGTTTAGTAGTTCGGGAATAGGCTGTAAACCCTAAGGGGATCGTTCTCGCGGCAGTGTACAAACACATAACGCAAAACACAAGCGAGTGTTCCTTGTATGCGGTGCCAAGGTGTGCTTTTTCGTCGAACCGAGTCTGCCAATGTGCGAGATTTCCCGAGCCGCTCTGGAATTTGGACGTTCCGAAGCGCAAACCGCCTGGCATCCGGCTGCCTTTCTCAGTGTGCAGGACTTAGTGGCATTTTGGGTAAGATGCAATTTCGGGTTGTTGTTTTGCAGATACTTTTCTGCAGCTTTTGTGCAACTTTCCTGCAACTCTGAGACTTTAACTCGAAAATTGGCCAAACCCTTTTTCGCGATGTGGCTCGCGACGAGTCGGTTCATCGCAGATGGCTCTTCTCGCGGGCGACGAGCTCTTGCGAGGCAGCGATTCCAATCGGCGACGCGTAGTGACGCCATTGCGAGCGCAGCGAAGCCAACCAGGTTAGTCCGCGCAGTTCCCTTCAATCCACTCGTCGCTCATCTTTTCGCGTAGATAAACGTATTCCTAGTTGCCTTCGCGTATTTTCGTCTTCTCACCTTTCGAATTGGTCGCGTGTTCTACGTGGTATGGCAGGCGCGTTCGGCGATGCGCGTTCGCTCGCTCGCTCCGCAAGCCGCGCGCCTGCTGCGGTAGCTGCGCGACGGCGTGAACGCATGCGCGCAACGAATGGTGCGTCGCGCTCGCCTCTGGCGGACGTGGATTCACCGCGTAGCGCCGTTCTGCATGCCCCACCTCGCACCCTCGCTCACGTCACGGCGCGTGTTCGTCAGGTGAGCATTCCACCTGTCCGCTGATTGATCTGATTGACTTCCGCCGTCCCAACCAACAGCAATTCATTTGCTTGATGCCGATTCCGGAAATCACCCACATCACTGATGTCTATTTGAACGCCGTCTTGGTGGCATCGGTGGGACCTTGCTCTCTCTTCCCTCACCTGCTGCTGCCCTTCTCTCTCGCTTCTCGCTTCCACTCTCTCACCATTCCCTTTCCTTGCCCATTCTCACTCGCCTCTTCGTCACAAAGAATTGGAGCACCCAAAAACGCCGGAAGGGCTACCATGCCTAGGTATGCTAAAAAAAAATATGTACGAAGTTGCCGCAAGGAATGCTCGATGAAACCCTAGAACACAACGAGTACATCTGGCACACTGTAAGGATTGCAACCCCTTTCCCAAACCATGAGAAAACGACTACCAAATGCACCAGTTACCGTGCGAAGGTGACTTCATGTTACTGTTTTCGTCGCAGCTGAAACTGTTATGCAAAATTTGTGACCTCGACTAAAGTGTACACCACAATAGCGTGGGGTACCGACCTGAACCTATATGCAGCCACTCAGTAGCGGGTACCCTTATCAAAAGGACTCTGACACGTCATTGCGAACCCACCCTCAGACGCGATGCTTTTTTCCAGCGCATATGAAGCACGTGTGCTGGAACTTGGTGACTAGCAACCCTGAGCAACAGTAACCACTTCGATCACACCTCGCCAGCCTCTCAAATAGCCCCATCCGTGCTATGCTGGCACAGCTGGCAACATAATCGAGACCTGCGACTCTGGGGAGGGAAGGGAAAGGGTGACCTTGAGCTTCAAAGGTGCCCTTTTCCAGGCATCGCGTTCAATTGTGCTTCACTGATGCATTCCCTTCCCAAACTCGTACCTTGGTGTCCTTCTGCTCCTTCGAATCTCTTCGAGCCACGTTACTCACCACCCCGCCCATTCCTCTATTCCCTTTTCCACGACGCCCCCTCTAGCAGATCACTCTGTCCGTCCGCTTTTGGCGCACGAGGCGGCATACAAACAGCGTTTCGCGATGGCCAGGTTCGTTTCTTCAGCTGAACATGTAAGTATTGCTGCAGGTTCGTTTCTTCAGCTCGTCGGGCTGCTTGTTTGCGCCCAATTGATGCGTGGCAGCACTCTTTCACCAGTGTTTTTGTTGCGCAGGTCTAATATCCCATTCTGGGATTTCGAGAAGATCGTATGCAGTTTCTGCCGCGTTTGCCGAATCGCATCTCCGAAGACGGTGTGAAGGGCACATCGCCCACTCTGCCTGAGGTCGCTGCTGTTCCCATCCCAATCCGCCGGTTACACCTCGCTAGAGGACAGCACGCTTGGGTGCGCTGAAGGATAACTGTCACTTCGCACATTTAGCCGCCAATCTGTCGCATCCATGCCTATGAAATGTCGTACACACTTTGATGTGCCCTTGCTGTGCGACAGGTTGAACTTGCCTCTGCTTCAATTACCGCTCATGCATGCTTATGTTTTGTCTAGCGCTCAAAATCGCCCATGCATGCTTATGTTTTGTCTAGCGCTCAAAATCGCCTATGTTCCAAACCTGTGCATTTTTTAACCTAAGAAACTACTCCGCAATGTATCACGCTGTTGTACCTAATCGTTGAATCGATGTTTTACCGTTTCGTTGTGCTCACGGTGTATGTTGGTCTAATCTACACAGTCCCAGCACCCTAAAATTCGTATCAATAAATGCAGTGGTTACCCGGTTTCCACGATTTGTGACAACCCATACCTCGTTATTGCCTCTCTTTTTATAGCCAGTTTTTATTTTTAGGTGTGCACGGAACATTGGTAATCGGAAAACGGTGCTCACCGTAAAGGGGGCAAAGAATGTCTCGAGAGTGTTAAAACAATCTCTAGGGTTTGTCCCAGAGGGATGCTGGCGCAGTCTCCCAACACTCCCGCCCCCTCTCCACGCATTGTTCATAATAATGTTAGTTGTATGTTGCCCAGAGGTACTTCAGACAGTCCCTTTGCAATGTATGTACATTGTTTTCGCCGCAATTTTTTTGTGACGTTTGCGTTCCCCTTCTCCTATCCCTCCCTGGCAGGTCACTGGCGCAGCTGCAGGCACAGGCAGCACGCAGCAGGCAACAGGCGACAGGCACACGCAGCACGCAGCATTCAGCAGGCAACACGCAGCAGGCAGCAGGGAGCGGGCAGCAGGCAGCAGGCAGCAGGGAGCGGGCAGCAGGCAGCAGGCAGCAGAGAGCACGCAGCAGGCAGCAGGGAGCGGGCAGCAGTGAAGCGTTGACTATCTCCGCCTTCAAGCTGAGTGCCTTGTACTCGCTGTTCAAGGTTTGCGCTGTTGCACTGTTTGCGTGTCGCATCCAAATCGGGGCACCCGTGAGGGCACAACTCGCGAGTCACAGACCACATCCCCACAAGAGCCGCTACCAACCTGAACCTGCACCTGAACCTGAACCTGAACCTGAGAGGAAGTGGGCTCGAGTGGAGTGTGGTGGCAGGGGCGATAATGCAACCTCAATCGTTGATGAGGCCCTTGCCTGTTTCAAGGCCTGCACTCACTCCCCTCCTGGCCTTCCCTTCCGTTCTGCCCCCCTCCAGGTCATCTCGCAATGCAGCAGAGGCAGCTGACGGGACAAGTTGTAGCAGCATCAGCAGTGGGGAGCACTGATGCAGCAGGGGAGGGGAGAGGAGGGAGGGGGACACAAGGCGGCATCTCTCGGCGGCTCTTCAGCTGCCAGCTAAGTGCTTTCGCCTCCCTGGACTCACTCTTGCCTGCTGCTCACTGCTCATGCTGAATCACTCTCTTCGCTTTCGCATGGCCTTCTGTGCTGTATCCCTGAAATATTTTCGCTGGTTGGGGGCCCGCTTCAAAAGCCACAGACCTTCTTTTATTCTTGGTAATCCCTCAGGTTAAGCCCTCCCTAGACTTTTACAGCCCAATCAGGTACAACCCCTACAGCAGGTTAATCCCCCCAGGTTCCCTCAAAGGTCTGTGGCTTGTGCTCTCGCCTTCACCAGTGGCCCCTCCCCTCGCATGTGCTGCTTTCAAACTTACAGCTTCCCAGTCAGAATCATTTCAGGATTGCAACACTCACAAGCTCTGTGCGTGCTCGTTGCAGGTGGAGGGGAGGGGCGCTGGGGTCAACACCGACACTTCCCCACCCCTCTCCCCGGTGGCCGTGCAGGAGGGAGGGAGGGAGGCAGCGCTGGGAGGGGACGGGAGGGAGGCAGCACTGCAGCAGGGCAACCCCACTGCTTAAAGGGAGAGTATGGGCTTGGGTCTTCCAAGGTAAGCCTCTCTCCAGCTCTTTTCTGCCACACTCACTTGTTGCTGTGGGTCTTTGGCGCTGCCTGCGATTTATCCTTCTGCTTCGCCCTTGCTCACCCCACGACCTTCACTCACTCGCCTCCTGTCCTTCCTTCTGTCTGCCCCCTTCCAATTCCCTCTTAATGCAGCAGCAGCAGTGGCGGCGGCAGCAGCAGTGGCGGCGGCAGCAGCAGCAGGAGGGGAGGGAAGGGAAGGAGTCAACATCTTCAGCTGCCAGTTAAGTTCCTTCTCTTCCCTGGTATCACCCTTGCTTGCTGCTCTTTCCTCTCATTGCTGCCTGAATCATTTTCACATGTGCCTCCGTGCTTTCTCCCTAAACAACTCGCCACTGGTTGGGGCCCGATTTGCAAGCCACGGACCCTCCCCCTTAGCTCCTAAGCCCGTCAGGTCAAGCCCTCCCCAGGCCTTACACCCCCCTCAGGTTACCCCCTACTTCCAGGTCATTTTTCAGGTTCAGATTTTCACGTTCCCTTGATGGTCTGTGGCTTGTGATTCTCCCCTGCGCCAGTGGTCCCTTCCCTCCACTTGCCTGCGTTTGTGGTCCCAGCTGCCATGCCGGCCTTGTGTTATGATTGCACACTGACCATCTCTGCGTGTGTGCCTTGCAGGTGGAGGGGAGGGGCGCGTGGGTCAACACCGACACTCTCCCACGCCCCTCCCCTGTGGCCGTGCAGGTACCCACGGGGATGGGAGGGCGGCAGCACTGCAGCAGCTTGCAGTTGGTGCCACGAGGGAGAGTATCGGGGTGGGCTGGCCTCTCAAGGTGCGCTACCTCCCTCCTTCAAGTTCATTTGTTGCTGCAGTTCTCTCTGCATTGTTCCCTTGTTTCCTTTGTCAGCTTATGCGTTTTCCTGTTGACTTTAGTGTTTCTGTTCACGTCAAATCACTAACCTTCTGCCCATTCTCTCCTCCCCCTCCCCCTTCTCTGCCCGCCACCAGGTCACTTGGCATCAAGAGAAGATTGCAGCAGAGGAAGCAGAGTAGCAGGCCGGCAGCAGCAGTTGCAGCAGCAGAAGCAGCAGCGCAGCAGCAGTAGGGGGTGGGGGGCTGGGCAGGAGATTAGGCTAGGCATGGTGTGAGCAAGGTGTGGTAAAAGGTTTGGTATGGTACCAGGTGAGGTATGGTGATCTGATTCCCTCCTCTCTCTCTTCCCCCTCTTCTCCCCTGCAGGCTGAAAGTGGGAGCACTGGAGCAAGGACGGGATAGTGGAGTCCAACCTCTAACTCACCTCCTCCTCTTTCCCTTCTCCCTTCCCTCCCAGCAGCACACTCCTGGACCACAGAGGAGTCTATCCCTCCCCTAATCCCCCCTTCTCTCTCCACTTCCCAGCAGCCTCAGCATCATGGCGCTCTCCTCGTCTGAGGTAGGTACAGGTGAGTACGCATGGGGGTGAAGTGTGGGGAGGGTGGGTGGGGGCATGGGAGCAAGCGGGGAGTTCACTGCCTTAGGGGCAGCATCCTCTGGGGTTGTAACTTGTGAGTCGGGGTGTGGTGGGTGGAATCTGTGCGGCACGGCACTCGGTGCTCAAGTAACCAATCTGACGTTAAGGCTTAATGGGCACCGTCAGAGCCGACCGGCCGGCGGCTCTGGTTCGCGTCAGCTCTAGCTACGTCAGGGGCGGGATTTGAGTCTTGGGCTGGAAGCAATTTTCCACTACCACACTTCATCCCACAAGGCTCAGCCTCAGGGGTTGCTGTTTCCTTAAGGAAGTGGGCTCTCTGCTGCTCCTACTGCTGGCAGGTAAAGTTGGGGATGGGCTGGGTGGGTGAGTGAGAGAGAAGGGGGCTGAATCCCCTTGGGTGGGTAAGTATAAGGGAAGGGGGCTGAATCCTCTTAGGTAGGTGAGGGAGAGAGAAGGGGGTTGAATCCCCTTGGTTGGTTGAGTGAGGGAGAAGGGGGCTGAATTTCGTTGTGTGGGTGAGTGAGAGAGACGGGGCCTGAATCGCGTTGGTTGGGTAAGTGAGAGAGAAGGGTACTGAATTCCCTTGAGTGGGTGAGTGAGAGAGAAGGGGGCGGAATCCCCTTGGGTGGGTGGGTAGGTTATGTATGAGACAGAGTGGGTGGGATAGGGTTGGGTGGGATGAGGCGGGTAAGGTGGGTAGGTTGGTAAGGTGGTTGGTTTTGGTGGGTCAGTGGGATGGTGGGTAGATGGTTCGTTGGGTATGTGGGCGGGTGGGTAGCTGGGTGGTTGAGAGGTGGGCAGGCGGGTGGGCAGGTGGTCGGTAGGTGGGTGGATAGGTGGGTGGTTGATGGGTTGGGTGAGTTATGGGGTGGGTGAGTGGGTGGGTGGGTAGATTGGTAGGTGGGTCAATGTGTCGCTAGGTGGGTGGGTTGGTAGGTGGGTAGGTGATGGGTGGGTAAGTGGATAGGTGGCTGGGTGAGTGGTCGTGGGTGATGGGTGGTGGTGGGTGGTGAATGGTGGTGGGTGATGGGTGGTGGATGGTTGGCGGGGGTTGGGCTGGGTGAAGGTAGAATGGGATGAGCAGCAGTGGGGTAGGTGGGGATCAAGCAGAGTGGGTTGGGTTGGGTATGGTGGGATGAGGTAGAGTGGGTTGGGCAGGGTATGGTGGGATGAGGTATAGTGGGTTGGGCAGGGTACGGTGGGATGTGGTAGAGTGGGTTGGGTAGGGTACGGTGGGATGAGGTAGAGTGGGTTGGGCAGGGTACGGTGGGATGAGGTAGGTGGGTTGGGCAGGGTACGGTGGGATGAGGTAGACTGGGTTGGGCAGGGTACGGTGGGATGCGGTAGAGTGGGTTGGGCAGGGTACGGTGGGATGATAAGGTGTGCTATGATAAGGTGTGCTATGATAAGGTGTGCTATGATAAGGTGTGCTATAATACAGTGTGCTATGATAAGATGTGCTATGATAAGGTGTGCTATAATAAGGCGTGCTTTTATAAGGTGTGGTCTGATACAGAGTGATGATGAGTGTGGTTTGAGTAATTCTTTGGTTTGCTACATTGATTGGTACGCAACGTTGTTTGGTATGGTACATCGATTGGTATGCTACATTGATTGGTATGCTACATTGATTGGTATACTACATTGATTGGTATGCTACATTGATTGGTATGCTACATGGTTTGGTATGCTACATTGATTGGTATGCTACTGTGATTGGGTGAAATGGGCTGGAACGCCTTCTCTTCTTTTCTCTTTTCTCTGTACCGTCCCTTCTCTGTGAGCCGTCCCTTCTCTGTGAGCCGTCCCTTCTCTGTTTGCCGTCCCTTCTCTGTGTGCCGTCCCTTCACTGTGTGCTGTCCCTTCTCTGTGTGCCGTCCCTTCTCTGTGTGCCGTCCCTTCTCTGTGTGCCGTCCCTTCTCTGTGTCCCATCCTCATTTGTTCCATTCTCGTCCACAGGCGTTCGTTCCCTTTTCCTGGGGGCCATGCATGTGCAGCTTCCCTCCCAAGGCACGGGTGAGCGTGTGCAGGATCCCTGCCATTTATTCAACAACTCATGCTCACATGTTTGTGACCCCTTCCCTTTGCCTCAGGGCCACCCATGTGCATGGGCTGGGCAACACACCGTCCTCCACCGATGCAAAGGTGGTGACGGCGCCCATCCTTGGATGCTTCTCATGCCGCCTTTCACCTGCCTCGTACCACGTCCCCTCCCATCACAGCAGTTTGGCACTCTGCAGACTAGATTGGGTACATGTGCCTAGCGGGAAATCCCACCATCAATTCATAGGATTGCAATGATGTGCAATTCCTATTCATATGTTGGGAATTGATCGAAATGAAAAAAATGATGTCGTGAGGTATTTTATAAAATGTGTCCCAGGCTACATCAAACCAGTGGCATTTTGAAATTTGCAGTGTGGATGTGCAAAAATGCATTTATGAGTAGCTTTGCTCAAATCTCCAAGGTGTTCCTCGTTTTAATAACTTATCATCTTTTGCATGTTCAATAACCTTGCGCCTCGACTTTGCCGCCAACTCTCTTCGAAAGTTGTCAGGTCTCGTGTCTGACACCAGGTGTCCTTGAGCCAGCAATTTCTTTCACCGCCTCAACCCGTCCGCACATCTCATTCCACCCCTCCCAACCCAGGCACCTCCCAAACCAACGCACTTCCCAACCCAACCCAACGCACCTCCCCTCCTCCCGCTTTCGATTCTCCTGCAGCATCAATCACAGCACTTGTACTCACCAGAATTCAGCCGCACTGCCGCCACCTGAAGCAAGGGAGTCCCAAGGCATCTCCTCGCCTCCTTTCTTCGCTTCCATGGCTTCACCAGCAGATCTTTCAGGCTTCGCTCTTAACTCCAGGTCCAGATACGTGAGCTGCTGGTCGCACTAGCCCTAACTTCACTTGCATACCTGCACTAACCTAACGGTTGCGGTTTAGTTGACGCGACTCGGTCTGCCAATCATTAAGTCTATGTCTTTCTAAGCCGAATATAGTTAGGGCGGTGTGAAGTAGCTAAGCTGATACCGAGTTAAGGCTAATGCGACGCTAAGCTGCTAGTTCAGCCGTTATTCAGCGTCGCTGCAGTTCATTTTAACAAAGTACTCGTTATATAGGTATCGATATTTACCAGAAAAAAGGCGTCGTCACTGCTATAGCTGTCGAAATTTAGCTGCTGCTTCTGCCGAAAAAGTGACGTCGCTGCTGTTGCTACCGTCATAACAACTTCAACTACGGTTCCCGGCGTTCAAAGCGACGTTTAGGGCGTAGTTGTTTTGAAGCTGACGTTTTAAACACAGCTGACGTTTTAAACTAGCTGACGTTTCAAACATAGCTGACGTTTTAAACATAGCTGACGTTTCAAACATTGCTGACGTCTTTTCGTCGTGAAGCCAACGTTGATGCCATTTCCGCGAACTAAGCGACGTCCCTGCCGCGACGAGACGAGAGCAACGACTGCAGCAGCAGCAGCAGCATGAGCAGCATGAGCAGCGACGGGTCAACCTGGAACACGGGAAGCAGCAGCATGCTGCTTGGAACACGTGGCGCAGCAGCAACCGAGCAAACTGGAGCAACGAGCGTCAGAGGCAACGACGCAGAGCTGGTCACGACGAGACGGGAGCAGCGTCTGCATCAGCAGCAGGTGCAGCGATTAGTTGAACACGGGCAACTGGGCGACGACGCAGAGCTGGTCACGACGAGACGGGAGCAGCGTCTGCAGCAGCAGCAGGTGCAGCGATTAGTTGAACACGGGCAACTGGGCGACGACGCAGAGCTGGTCACGACGAGACGGGAGCAGCGTCTGCAGCAGCAGCAGGTGCAGCGATTAGTTGAACACGGGCAACTGGGCGACGACGCAGAGCTGGTCACGACGAGACGGGAGCAACGTCTGCAGCAGCAGCAGGTGCAGCGATTAGTTGAACACGGGCAACTGGGCGACGACGCAGAGCTGGTCACGACGAGACGGGAGCAACGACCGAGCAGCCAGGCGTGACGACTCATATGAAAGCGTGGCGCAGGAGCGAAAGAGCGGTTTATGGGAGCGACAGGCACATGGTACGTGCCAGGGAAGCTTGCTGGGGGAAGTGTAGTGAGTCGCCGCGCAGAGGCAAGAGTCGTGTCTCTTGCCCTTGCCTCCACCACTCGCCTCCTCTCCTGCTGATCGCAACCCTTCCTTTTGTGTGCGTGTTTTCTCTTCTCATGCCTTTGTGTGCCTCACGGCCTGCGGAATGGCGCGGAGTGGACGCGGAATGGCGCGGAGTGGACGCGGAATGGCGCGGAGTTGACGCGGAATAGCGCGGAGTGGACGCGGAATAGCGCGGAGTGGACGCGGAGTGGACGCGGAATGGCGCGGAGTGGACGCGGAGTGGGCGCGGAGTGGCACGGAGTGGACGCGGAATGGCGCGGAATGGCGCGGCGTGGCGCGGAGTGGGCGCGGAATGGACGGGAGTTGAAGTATCGCAGGGCGTCGCCGTTGCTGGCTCGCCTGAAGTGAAGGCGGGGCACATGAGTGGGAGAGTGGTGGACGGAGCATGGTACGTGCCAGGGGGTGCTTGAGGGGGGCATTGAAGTCTCGTAGGGAGTCGCCGCGCAGAGGCAAGAGTCGTCACCATTCGTCTCCTTCCTCCTGCTTCTAACTCTCCCTTGTTGCGCCGTTTCTGTGTGCGTGTCGTTCTTCCCATGCGTGTGTGTACCTTACGGCCTGTGAGATGGAAGCGAATGGCGCGGAATGGCGGAATTGCATGGAGTGGAGTGGAGCTTACGTTGCAGGCTCGCACGAGGGACAACCGTTCAGCGAGGAGAAGGGGCAGCACCGGCTAGGCACATTGGCACATCAAAGGCAGACACACGGTGGCGGTCGTGACGAGAGCAATGACTGCAGCAGCAGCAGCA